CCAATTTTAGCTCACATAAGCACACACTTTTTCCAATTTAGGTGCCACACGATTAAGAATGACTCAGAACGTCGAGAACGCAAAAATAACCAAATTAAAATTTCAGACGAAAATGATTTAAACAAAAATAGATCATTAAAATAATAGACAATAAATAACTAGTGGTGTGTATGGCATCGTGCCTTAAGGCAGCCTGCTGGAACTTCCCGTACCGTAACGAAATGTTCGAGTAATATTAAATGTTTTCAAATAGATTATTATAAATATTGTAACACTGTCTAATATTTATAAGAATTATATAAACTGAAATGCAAAGTTGAAAATATTTGTTTGAAGTATATTAGAACTTATGTCAGATTACAATTGAAATCTGAATTATTTTCGATATACAAAAAAAATATTCTATGGGAAAAAATTTTTTTTGAAAAAAAAAATGGCACAACTTTATTTTTCCAAAAGAAATTATTTTGTTAAAACAAGCAGAAAGTTCTTTGAATCATTCAAATCGGACGCTTCGTTCTATCAAAAATTGCCATTTTTGGCACATTTAGCTCTGTATCTCCGAAACCGCTGAACCTGCTTTTGCCAAAAACTAATCACCACTTCTCCACGTCATTACGAATTGAATGTTTTTTGGATCATTCAAATCGGATGCTCCAATGTCTCAAAAACTCGATTTCTATTTTCTGCACTCTTTGCTCTTTAACTCCGTAGCTTCTGAACCTGCCTTTGCCAAAAACTAATCAGCACTATCAATAGGAATCGAATGTTTTTCGAACCATTCAAATCGGTGGACGAAAATTTGTATGCATACATACATACACACACACAACCATTTTTTCTGAGGTATGCCAAAATGTTCAGAAACCTTCAAAACGTGAAGAAATGTAAAAATTTTCAATTTCGATTTTTGGACTATTACAATACTGGAAGTTAATGAAAAAATAATTGTGACTTATTGTAGAAAATTTTATAATATTCAGTTGACTATGAAAAGGTAAAATATCAATTCGGTATCTAAATTTGCCCCTAGCTTTATAATCAAACAAAATATAATAAAAATTTAGAAATTTTAGAATAAATGATTTAAACAATCATAAATGAATTAACTTAAAAAGGTATATAAAAATTAAAGACTAGAGTTTATATATTTTGTAAGATTTTGAGAAATTTTATTTGAGGTTAAAATTAAAAGTTGTTATTACCTACCCAAAAGACCAATATTTTTTATACATTTGCAGTAATCCTAAAAAATTGACTGTTGTAACTGGCACAATAAATCTAACCAGAGGTGGTGAGGAACACCAAATAGAAAAAATTATCAAGCACAATTTTTCAGAAAAAACAAAGGAAAATGACATTGCTGTTGTGAAGGTGAGTAATGCATATTTATAAGAAGGTAGCCATTAAATGAGAACGTATCAAATAATATATTATAAAATATGCAATTAAAATATGTATTTAAATAAACCAAATCTATTACATTTTAGCTACAAAACTCAATAAAGTTCAACCAATTTCAAAAACCAATCGCCTTACCAAGGAAACGACCAAAGGGAAATACCCTAAGCATAGTAACAGGATGGGGAAAGCATGTGGTATATATTTTCTATATTAATTTTTTTATTAAATTCCTATGATTACATAAACACTTCTTAATGTAAATATCTGTGTATTTTCAACTTCAAGTATCCTGGAAAAGCACATCCAAACAATTTGCAAAAAATGGAAGTCTACACAATGACTGATGAAGAATGCCGAAATGTGTTTTGGCACCCAGGATACATTATGCCAGGAATGATCTGTGCCATCAAATCAAAATCAGGTGTATGCAAAGTAAGTGAATTTTGAATCAGTTAAGCCTCAAATAAAGTATATTAGAGTAACACAGAGCTTCTAGGAATCATTCAAATCGGTTGAGCAGGTATGCTCGCTCAACTTATACTTTGGTTTACACACATTTTTTCTGTAGTATGCCAAACTGCTCAGAAATCAAGTTGGGGATATGCAAAAATTTTTAATTTCGATTTTTGAAGAGTTACAATAATTTTTCCTAGGAAAGATATTTTTTTAAATAATTAAAGAACGTCGGCGGTGGCAGCCACTGCTTTTAGTATATATGTATTTTCATATTGATCAAACACTAATTTTTGAAGTAAAACTTCTTTAGGCGCCACTAGGGTGTAAATCCGTACAAATGCAACGGAAGTGCGTTACGGCAGAAATGATAAGAGTACAGTGCCAATGATTTGTCCCTCGCTCTCGATGAGATAATTTACGGGTCCATTGTGACTAGTCGCCGCGTATGTGAATAGAGATCTGTCGTTGTATGCGTACCGATATCAACAAGGAAATCGGAATAGATAAATAAACATTTTAAAGCTATATCATAGTACAAATCTTGATTTAATGAAAAATTCCTGAATCAGAAGAATATTTTATCCTTTCCCTTAATATTTTACCCTGTTGCTTAAAAATTATTTATATATTATTCGTAGTTTCTATAAATCTTTGAAGTTAATAAAATGGAAAATAATTTTTGGGCAAAACAGATATTACAGGTGTTCAAAGAATGAGATTATATAGCGAAAAAGTAAAAAAATACAAGCAGTCAATGAATGTATGTTAATTTTAAATACATGAAGTTCTTTAAACACAATTACATGATGAGTGAAGTTGCGAAAACAATATTTGTTTAGGCGTTGTTTAATATAATCCACTGTGTGAACACATATTATAGAATTTATAAATCAGCAATTACTTCATTTCTCTAATGAAGGTTCATTTCTAAATGATAATTACAATGGCAAACCGATCATGTCATATTTGAAGTATGGCATTAATTACATTATTGTTTTTAAATATTATACATATTTTTAATGCTATTACAAATATATAATTCATAATTTATCATTATATAAATGTTTATAATGGTTGACACAAATAAATGTGTGCATCACGAGTGTTAGCATATCACTAATAAACATTATTCAAAATTGTTATATGATGTATTTATGTTTACATAAATGCCATCTTGTATAGTAGCAAATAAGTTTTACCTCAATCGCGTGTGAACCATACGCACACTCTTTTTTTCTTGTTTTTATTTATAAAAATAATATTTATGATTTTTTAAATAAGGGAGATTCTGGAGGACCACTTTTCATACAAAAAAGCAATGGATTTAAATACGAAATCATCGGCATTGTCTCTTGGATGTCAAAAACATGTGCAAGTGGAAAACCCGATGTATACACGTCTGTCTTCTACTATCTCGAATGGATCAAAAATGCGACTAATGAAGCAATTTATTAGGCTTTATTCTAGTTATATTAACTAAATATTTTATAAGAATTGAAAACAATTACTATATTCATTCAAAAATCTAAATATATTATTATAATTTCATATGTTATTTTATTCATATTAGTATGGACTTGTTGTTAACTTACAGAAAACTACTATAAAATTTTGGAAAGAAAATCGATACTTGATCTAATTGTAAGTCAAGATTGGTATTTGAAAAAAATTAAATTTAAATCTCAATTTCATTTATCCCAAGAATTCATTTTAGTTTTACATTATAATTATCAAAAAGTCGTTATAATTCATCTAACAAATGAAAAATCAACTTTGTCATTATGTATAAAACAGTTGTAAGTTGCAAATAAATATAATAAGAAATGTAAAAAATTTAATATAAATAAATCCGTTCAAATATATTATAAATAAATTTAATATGAGAACACTTCCACTTATTGCACAAGTTTGTATCAAACTAATTATTTTTCATTTTAGTTAAAATGCAACGTATTGTTTATTTTTCACTTATATAATATATTGATAAAATAGCTTTGATTTCGATAGATACTGGAATCACGTAATTCTGCGATTTAAAATGACCTCATATCGATACCGATTACATGTTGTAATATCAAAGGTAGTTTTGTTATGAAAAATAAATGACGTAGATCTTGAAACTTGTCATTTACAGTCATTCTACAAATTATTTTAGTAATAGGCACATTTTTATTTTTTAACAGAACTACAGAGTCAACCACGGAAAATAATTTTAGATTATATTAGACATCTCTAACCACAAGTGTAAATTTGTATACAGGTATATGACTGATGTACTTATATACAAAGTCAAAAAAAGTGGAAACTTAATATCACACTGCTTGATATCTAGCTGGCCTAGTTACTCGGCAGTATCATTTCCAATCAATACCTTTCGAACAGTTTTTTATTTTTTAAAATCGATTCGGTAGTATGAGCTTAAATGTGGACAAAAAGTTTAACACTTTTTTCCATATGGCAAATAAACAGCTTAGCAGATCGCCGCACAAAACTGACAAACGATAGTCTTCATCGAGATACATAAAATGGCTTTTAAATTTCTGAAATCGGCTCAGGCGTTTTTGACAAAACGTCGATGAAAGGTCTAATTTTGACAAATGCCAGAAAAACGATACCAATTTTTGCAAACTTTGACGAATTTTTAAAATCTCTTCACATACACATACACACACACATACTTTTTCCAAATTTGGTCTCATTCGATTCAGAATGGCTTGAAACGTCGAAGTTATTATAATAACTTCCCGAAGGAGAAGTTTATGTTTTCATCAAAAAATCCGATTCGCTAATTTTATGTTTTCTCGATTCGCTAATTTTATGTTTGAAGTTTACTATTATAATTAGTAAACTTCAAATAACCAAAATTAGTATTATTTTTCATTTCAAATTCTGTTAATATTACCAACCAGAAATTATCGTACAACCAGTAAGCCTTCTTATTTTGCATAATTTATTTCACAATGCATCACAGTTTAACAATGCAAGATTATCCAAAATCATTGGATTACATATATCAAGTAAATCAAAATCAACAAATATCATAAACAAACCAATTCATTATGAAGCAAAAAATACGATAAGATTAAAACGCGATTTATATAAAAACCCAGAGGTTTTGGTTACGTTGTCATTAGTGAAAAATGTTGCTATTAGTTCTCATTGCAGTTATTGGAAGCGCCCTGGGTAAGTTGATAATATTATATAATTGTAATAAAAATAAATGTTTTATGTAAATTTGGACATCAATCAGAACTATGTGTTCAACGAGCTATTGCGATGTGATTCCTTAAACCATAGGCTTCCAAACCTGTTTGTATCGTGGACCCGTTTAACTTTGCCATGGACCCCTTATTTAGTCGATATCGATTTTTTTTTATAAATTTTTATTTGTACCAATGTTTAGTATTAAACATTAAAAGTAAAGATACTAATTCAGTTGAGACAATAATTAATTGACTTCATAATAATAATAATATAGATATTAACAAGGTATACTGTGATCCACTATTGTGGATCTCAATAGTTCCTTTAACTTAGGATTTTACCATTATCTTTCTTAAATTTATACTTTCAATGAGAAAAATGAATAGCAATTTTCCGCCGTCCCGGATTAGCCCAACTTCAAAGTTACCGTTCCGAATTTGAAATTAAAAATATGGTAACCTGATACCAACTGTTACCAAAGTTTTCATAATGTTACAAATTCAACAAAAAATAAACTTATATTATAACTTACCTTTGTTACATGCAGGCGGCGTGGACGAGAGAATTATTGGAGGAGTTCCTGCTGCAGTCGGAGAATTTCCTCACCAGATTTCCCTTCGGTACAGACAGTACCACACATGTGGAGGCTCTATTTTGAATCCTTCTTACATATTAACGGCTGCCCATTGCGTTGAGGGCAGGTAATAATGAATTTTGTAGAAGAATCTGAAACAAAATAATATTTTTATGAAAAAACAATAGATGGTTCAAATTAACAAGCAATCTTTAGGGTGGGTCACTATGAGTGGAAGCGCTATTTAAAGTAGAAACTTTTTAAGGAAACATGTGTCTTCATCATTTCAGCATTCCTCCTTGAACCGAAGTAAATTGAAACCGAAATGAAAATAAATCATGTTTTTTCATATTTTTGCTTTCACAATGCTTTCACTTTAAATGACCTACCATATATAAACATAGAAAATTTCTACAATATTTAAATTAATATTTTTCAGGGCATATCCTCCTGATTTCACAGTCGTCACTGGTTCCATTCAATTATTAGCTGGAGGGCAATCACATGCAGTACAATCGATCGTATTCCATGAAAAATTTGCCCAAAGCCACTTGAACAATGATGTTGCAATTATCAAGGTAAAGATTAAAAATAAAATTTGTTAGGAAACAAATTATATGTCCATATCAGAGCTATAAATTTCTGCAATATTATAGGGATTGTTTTCGCGTTTAACATCAATTAGTGTTTATTAGCCATTATTTATTTATTTATTTATTTATTTATTTATTTATTCATTCAACGCCCAAGACAATAATTATTAGAGAAATTGTGTTAATTAGAAAAAAATCGCGTTCTTATACATGTTCAATTATAGTAAAATGAATTTAAGCGAATGTTGTTGCCTAAGTCACCAACAAAAATGTAAGAAATGGAACAGATGTTCTCGATGTCAGTAATAATTTCATGTTTTCCATTTTTTGCACTAGTTTTAATGATTGCTGCTGATAAGAATCAACCAAAATTATGCTCTTTTGCAGCTTCAAAGACCAATGACATTCAACCAATATCAAAAACCAATTCGTCTACCAAACTCCGATACTCCTTCTGGTGTATTGCTGACAGTTTCAGGATGGGGTCTTACTGCTGTAAGTATGAAAACAGGGTTGTTAAAATACAAATATGTATGCATTATTTTTCCCTAAAATAAAAAATAACACATACATAATGAAAAATGATTCAATTAGGCCACGATATTTATTTAGAAAATAACAGGGCAGTATCAAAATCTCTCATTCTCACAGAATTGTGGAGACTTGACTAGCAAATAAGTACTATTTTTTAATGTTTTAGTATCCAAGTAATACATCGCCAAACTATCTCCAAAAAATGCTGGTCAACTCTTGGAGTAATGCCGAATGCCAAAGATGGCACGACTACGGACCAGGAGGTAGAGCAATAGATACCATTTATCCAGGAATGTTGTGCGCATTTAACAGATTACATATTGGAATTTGTAAGGTAAGTACAGTAAAGCTGAATATTTTTATAATGGCATCAAAATTTTATTATGTTTCTTATGATAAAGGGTGACTCGGGTGGTCCATTGGTGGTATACGACAATGAAGGACCTGTGCAAGTTGGTGTTGTTTCTTGGGTTTGGAGGTATTGTGCTCAAGGTGTACCTGATGTATATGCCAGAGTACATTACTACTTAGATTGGATTCATGAACATACTAATAACGAATTACTTTAATATACTAGATCAAATTTTTGTTTTAATTATTTAAATCTTGTGATAATAAAAATTATATAAAATTTTGATACAAATTGAATAAACTCTAAAAACATTTTAACGCTTTTTTTTTTTTAATTAGCTGTTCTAACCCTAAGGCGGCCTCCAATAATCATGTGATCGATTTTTTAAGGATTTTTGGACTCCACCAAACATCACAAATATTTTTAGTTAAGAGAAAATATTGTTTTATTTCGAGAAAAATTTGCAAGGTTTTTTTATTATTATTATCACTTATCATTCGCATTTTCATGTTAATACTTAACCGGATTATGATTAACACCGACTTATAACACTTAAGAACAGAATAATAACTTCTGTTAGAGCATTTATATTTTATTCAATTTCAACATTATTGTTCATAATCGTAATATAAAATATACATTCATATAAAATATATTAATTTAATAACACCAAATTACTTAATGTATCTAAAATAAAGTATTCATTTAAAATAAAATATTTAAAAATAAGTATTACCACTATTATCACTATTCCAGCAATTCCAACACTTTCACCATTTCGGGTCGTTGATTTGGAATTCTATTCACACATATTAGTCCCAATTTAATAAGTTCAGCAAAAATATTTTTTGCTTCATGTGAAGATGAATCTTCAGATCTAAGATCTTGGAGAGCATCTATAAAGCCAAATAAATAATAATATACAATTATATAATTGATTTGTACCATACAAATAAATATATATATATATATATATATATATTTATTTATATTTATAGAAACATTGTTATTGAATTAATTTGAATAAAAATTACCTAGCTGCCCTTCTTCACAATATGCTGTTACGTGATCTTTAAGAAATTTGTATTTTCGTTTGTCGTCATATACTGATAAACCAGTTGCGATTTCAAATAATACAACGCCAAAACTATATGTATCTACCTAAAATATATAAATGAACTTATACTAAAAATTGTAACTATAAACAATATACTCTTTTAAGAGTTATATACAAAAATCTCAAAATTACATTATATTTTATATATACCTTTGTCGATAATTTTCTTCCGCGCAAAAATTCGTCTGGAAGATATGGTCTGGTACCTTGGATTCTTGTAACCTGGTATTAAATTATATTCTGATAAAATATAATCAAAACTTGGTACCTATTGTTATAATACATATGGTGAAATAACGAATAAAAAAATCTAATATATGTTTGAAATGAATATATAGAAAAGTCAAATTAAAATAAGACAATTTTGGAAAAAACTATTTGTTAAAACGAATAAAGTTGATAAACAAAACTATATTAATATAATATGTGATATAGGATGTTTTTGATTGATATAAAAATACCGATTTTTAACTTCTTTGATTTGCTTCAAGGCACGATGCCATAAACTACTAGTTTAACTTTTTTTCATTTCTGCCTACAAAGAACTTTTGAACTCAAACTCTAAGAAAAATCCAAGGCCTACTTTTTACAAAAATCTGATATATACACTATTATGAAAAAAAAATTAAAATATTATTGTAATTACTAAATTAACATAAAATATATAGGATTGATTTTTAACTGTTTGACCAATGTACATTTAAACGTATTTTAAACTTCTTTGACAATGGTTTGCATTAATTCATTATCTACTAATGTTAAGAGAAATATGTTAATCGACGTTTTATTGCAGAAGTTTGAATAAAGTAAAGTGTTTAGTTTTATATTACATTTTCTCAAAATTTAACTTGAATAGTTTTTTAAAAATTATGGTAAATAATAAGAAAAGTATATAAACTTGGAATTTATTTACCTTCATGTAATCTGTATGCGGTCCTTCCCTTGCCAGACCAAAATCTCCAATCCTCGGTTCATTGCATTGATCAAGTAGAATGTTTGCTGATTTAATATCTCCATGAATTAAAGGTTTCTCTCGATTGTAAGTATGCAAAAATTGCAATCCTCTAAAATAATATATAGATGAATAAAATATATTTTGATCATCTAGTAATCAAAAACAAAATGTATTCAACATAAATTAAATAATCAAAATTTAAAGAAAATGTATTAAGTAACTAATTCAAAATTTCAGTTTATAATATTTTGCTCTCCTTTGCAATAGAATGGCTACCCCAAATACCACCACCACATTAAGTTCTCTAGATTACGATTTTCACTTAAACACATGCAAGCTCAGGCTCGTAATAAGCAATTTGAAACATGTACAAGGTAAGTAAAAACTTTATTCCTTAAATCCTTAGTTGCCAGAATCAGGTGAACTAGTACCAAAAAGTCTTTGTAACTTTTCATTAGACAAAGTACTCATCAGATTGTATTTATATAGATCGTGTCAATGTTCACAATTGGGTCAAGAAATTGACAACAGCTAGGAACAACAAAGAAGAAAAAATGCTTCGAAATGATTTCATGGCATTTTTGGTCAAAGCTGTCCAAGACCAAAACTTGATTCCACCATTCAATGAACCACCTCCACCTGGTCCATTGACCGCAATGATAAACCTAATGGTATATCTTAGTTACTTTTATTATTAATATTAAAACATTTTATTTTAATAGTAGAATTGTATTTCCAAAGCCGGATGAGTTGCCACCTGGAACAATCGACACTACCTTTATGCCTGAACAACCTCTAGCACAAGCATCTCAAAGTTCGGCTCTATTCAATCTATCTCCTGACAATGGAGATTTTCTGATCTCCCAGCCATTACCAAGATGTGGGGTATTTTGTTATATGGCAGTTGTCAGTCAGCAACCACCAGAAGAAGAAGATTAGGCCTCGAATTAATTTTGAATAGACCCAATAAATGTAATACGTTATATTGACAAGTAATCAAAAAACATCTAGATCATTATATAAACATTACGCGAACATATGTCCAAATGTCACAAACAACCTTCAGATCCGTAAAAATTTTGTAGCGTTCAATAAATTACATGATCTTTAAAAGATATTTTTTCATTATTTGAATATTTATAAGTGGTACCCAAATGATTGTTACAAACGACGAAATTTTTCATATTTCCATTTTGCCATCAACATTTTTCGAGAGAATTCTTACTCGCTTAAAGCTCGTATCCCAAATTTTGCTCGTATGCCGAAACAATGAATCACTCCTTTGTCGCTAGTATTTCGAAACGCTTGTAAGTCAAGGTAGCATGGTATATTTATATAAAGTTATGTTGAAGCTTATGAGATAATAAACTAGTGGTGTATGGCATCCTTAAGGTAAATTGCTAGAACTTCCGCAAAGAAATGTTCGAGGAATATTAAGGTTCGAGGTTTTCAAATGGATTATTATAAATATTGAAATTTATATATGTTTACAGAAAAGTAAATAAGCAAAACTTAATCGATCTAATTTAAAATGAAAGGACATTGTCTACTATTTATAATAGTTATATGAAATGAATGGCAGAGTTAAGACTATTTATTTGAAGAATATAAGCAAGTTTTAGAACTTTGGCAAGAATTAAAATTACAATACGAATTAATTTCGATATAACAAAATTAGTGTATGGCATCGTGACTTAAGACATTTGCCGGAACTTCCCGTACAGTGACGAAATGTTCGAGGAATATTAAATGTTTTTAAATAAATTAGATGAATTAAATACTGTAACGAATTATATAAACTGAATTACAAAGTTAAAATCATTTATTTAAAGTATATAAGTCAGCTTTAAAACTTTAGCCAGAATTAAAATTGAAATCTGAATTATTTTCGATATACAAAAAAAAATCCAAAAGCAAATGGTTTCGTCAACACAAGCAGAAAGTTTTTTCAATCATTCGAATTAGATGCTTAGTTCTCGCAAAAACTGCAATTTTTTTGCATGTTTGGCTCGGTATCTCCAAAACGGCTGGATCTGTCTTTGCCAAAAACTAGTCACCACTTCTCCCCGTCATTACGAATTGAATGTTGTTTGGATCATTCAAATCAGATGCTCCGTTCTCAAAAACTCAATTTCTATTTTCTGCACTCTTTGCTCCGTATATCGGAAACGGCTAGACCCGCCTTTGCCAAAAACTAATCAAACATCCTATCAATAGGAATCGACTGTTTTTGAACAATTTAAATCGGCTGATCTGTGCGCCCGAAAACGTGGACGAAAAATTGTATCCATGCATACATATACATACACACATACATACATACACACACAAAAGAACGAGAAAGAGCAAATGGGACTTCGCACAATCAAAAGCTAAGTATAAAATCGAGATAAGAATTTTAACATTCTAGATCCTCCCCCCACGAAGTAATGCCTAACGCCGGTTTACGTTGGGACCAAAGGCAAGGGCAAAACGGAGGTTTTTACACACACACACACCCATCCATTTTTTCTGAGGTATGCCAAAATGTTCAGAAACCTTCAAAACGTGAAGGATCGCAAAAATTTCCAATTTCGATTTTTGGACGATTACAATAACTTACCCTACGGGAAGTTAATATAACTCATATCTGTAAAAATAGCCAAAAATTGTTTATTCAATTCACTCACCTCGCTGTACCACGAGCAATATTTTTTCTTTGTTGCCAAAGTAAAGAAGGTTGCAAATTATGGCGCGCTCTTTGAAAATTGCGTTCTAATGAACCTCCAGACATATATTGATACACGAGGCAGGGTTCTCGTCCTGTATTAAAAATTAAAACGTTATGTTAGGAATGTTAATATTAAAACAATTATAACAAATATTGAATCTTCACCATAAACAGTAAAAATAAAACATTTTTAATTATACACACCTTCATCCATGCTGTATCCATAAAGTGACAAAATGTTATCATGTCGACAACCATTTAAATATCTTAATTCTCTCATTGATTGCTCCATTTGAGTATTATAACTTTCAGCAGACGTCATACCTCTTGGTGGCTCCAGACGTTTTATAGCAACAGCAGTATTTTTCCATAAACCTTATAAAAGATATTCGAAATTAATATTTTTTAAATCTTCTAAATATGCTAAAATTTTACCTTTAAAAACTTTTCCAAATCCGCCTCTGCCAAGTACATTAGATTCATTCCAGTTATCGGTAGCAGCTTGAAGCTCATCATAGGATATTCTAGGAATTGCACTAGCAGACTCGTTAATACTCGAAATATCGGATACTCCGGAAACTAAAAATTTGCCTAGATAATGGACATAAAAATAAATTGTATTCTCTATACTATAATTTATTTTTAGGTTTACATTGTGTGTATGTGGGTGGTATGAATGTTGTGTAAGTCTCTTTGGTAAAATGATCTTATAACATGAAATGTTTTTATCTTGTTGAAATTGACATAGAAAATAAGTTTTATTTTTCTGGATTGATAAGTGCTTATAATTAGGTTTAATAATACTGTATTTTTTGTAGAATTGTTTAGTAATGATGTTTTTATGTAAATAATGATGAGGTTTACTCCTCTGTAAATAAAATCTTCATTATTTGATATATGAATCATATATGATATAGTTTTAATGTGTTAGTAATTTAATTGATAAATATATATTTGACTGCTTTTATGTTTAAAAGGCATTATAGTTTAAGTCAGAATGAGAAATATTATAAATGTATCTAAATTTCTTTACACAAATAAATAATTATGATGATAATTATATTGAGTTTGATTATAGCTATTTCTGTTTTAGACCATATGTATCACAATACAAAAACTCACTAGAATCACAAAAATAAACTTTTCCTTTGAAAAGTTAATTATCGAGAAGTTATTACAAGATTTTACCTGTGGTTGTGGAGACAAACGCCTTTGGAACGGCATTTGATGAGACCTGTTCGTAGGTGGGTGTCAAAACATTTTCATTATTTTCATCACTAGTTTGTGCATTATTATTATTATTAATACTTTCTACTTGTACAACTATATTAGGTTGCTTAGGCTTAAGCACATTGAGTATTTTTGAAGATTTGGTGATGACTGCAACATTATCAGAATCACTAACTTCTAAAAAATAAATTATAATATTATTATAATAATTATAATGCTATATTGTAATAAATACTAGTTGAGTTTCTTACCTGAATTGCGTGCATTACCATTAATCTGTCTAGGTCCAAGCTGAGCAAAATTTGTGCATAAATGTTCTTCGTAACTCTTTATCAGCTGATGATATCTTGGATCAACAGATTGTTTAATTTCTTCCATCGCTTTAAAGTGATTCATTCTGAATAAAAAATGATTGAAAAGTTAAACACATAAGTTTAATACAAATTAGTCAATAATATGTACAAAAATGCAAACCTTGACAATAAAATATAATAATTCAAGAATTGAATTGTGGATTGTGACGACCCCCATAAAGTCAATAATTCATCGGAAGGAGAGATCCTCCGCATCTCGTCTTGCGTTCAATGTCCTACCAGAAAATTAAACATTGTTTAATTTATATAAAAACACAAACTAAATGTAAGTGGAATTTTGTATTAAGGCAAATTGCAATTCTTAACAAGACCTCCGCATATGCAACATGTGCAAATAAAATCAATTGAAAGACTATTCTGGGAAAATATTTTTATATAATTCTATGCATTTTCAAATACGTAGGAGTTATTATAATTATAGAATGTGAGTAACTAACTTAGTTTGAAATTCAGGAGTTTTGTGGTTTTACCAGTTGTGTGAAAATTCAAGTATGTAATTCATCATATATGCGTAATTGCTACTGCCATATTGAATTAACTAATAAAGAATATCCCAGAAATTAATTAACAGTAACATATAAATTTAAGTTTTGGCAAAAATAAAAATATACAAGAAAAATATATTATCGAATAATAATTTAAAAATTTTCTTGCCGAGAGGTAAGTTGTCAAAAGGGTAAGTTTCGAAAGCGAATCTTGCGAATTTAATAAAACTTGGCACACGTTGTTATTATACTTTACTAAGATCGTGAAAAAATTTTAAATTGGTTCATACTGTAGTTTCTGAGATATGCGAGATTACACTCTGACCTAAAACTAGCCTAGTTTCAGGTTGGGAGCACTTTTCGCCTAGGTGCACCATAGTATTTTCTCAAAAAACGGATCGTGCGAATTCAATGAAACTTGGCACATATTGTTATTATACTTTATCAAGATTGTGACCAAATTTTTAAATTGGTTCACACGGTAGTTTTCAAGATATGCGATATTGCACTTTGACCTGAAACTAGCCTAATTCAGGTTGAGAGCACGTTCGGCCTAGGTGCATTATGGTGTTTTCTCAAAAGCGAATTTTGAGAATTTTGCGAATTTTGCGAATTAATGAAACTTGGCGCACATTGTGATTATACTTTGCCAAGATTGTCACAGAAATTTTATTTTTTTTATGAAAATGCCATTTTTATATATCTTTGCGTTTCAAAAATTTCTGAGCATTTTGGCATACCATAGAATAAATGAATGTATGTTTGTCAATTTTTGTCGACGATTTCAAGAATACGGATCAACCGATTTGAATGATTCAAATAACATTCGATTCCTATTGATAAGGAGAGTGCTTATTAGTTCTGGCAAAGGCAGGTCCAGCCGTTCAGAAGATAGAAGAATAGAAGAAGGGGCAAAAAGTGCCAAAAATGGTAATTTAGTGTTGAAGAGAACGTAGCGACCGATTTGAATTTCAAAAAACATTTTGTATGACAAAATGAAGAATCTAAGAGTTGGGAGATCCGATAAATAAAGTAGTAAAAAAACACCATTTAACAATAAAAAAATATCATTAGACAAATGTACATCGAATTGTCGGACATCAATAATAAGTTAAAATTTTGTTTACATATCTATGGGTTCGGTACTACTGTTTATCGTTAGACTGAGACGCGGCGCTTACGCGCTTCGATATTTCGTCCATGAAACAGCTACGCACCACGATTGCTTTAAAAATAATTAATTTTTTTTAAGTTTCAAAATATAAAAAATATTTCAAACTTTCAAAGTCATTTTTTTCAAAAATTTCAAAATCAATTTTTTTGTTTTTAAATAATATTTACAGCTTATTTAAAATGTTAATTTTTTGTACGGGAAGATCCAGCAATTTGCCTCAAGACACAATGCCCATGCACTACCAGTTAAATAAACTATTTGATTATATTAAAACTTTTATGTTTCTAACAATAAGATAAAAAACTATACCAGATAAACCAAAATTAACTTTATTAGTTAAATAGGACTCTTGTACTTAATTTTTATATAAATCAGATATTTTAAAATAAAAGTAATATTAAAATAGATAAATATATGATAGTATATATAGTATTATTAAATATATATAAACTATATAGACAATATGCATAAATGTATAAATTTACCCAAAATTCTTATACAGGCACCCTGTCTGACTGAGATATGGAAAAAATATATAATGCTAAATAAATAAATTTAAAAAAAAGGTATAATAAAAATTCATGAATGTTTAATTACAATGCAAAATATTTACTAAATTTGCTGAATGCATAATAAATACACCAGAAATTATATAATTTCTAATGAAATCGCAATGACTAAACAAGTGGGCAAAACCCAAGAAACGCAACAAAATAGTGATAAATGAAAATTTCATATTGGAATTAAAATAGGGAAAGTTTTTACAAAAATCTATGATATAAAAATAATACATTTTAATTTAATATGTTGATTATTAAATGGGATGTAATCGAAATTGGAAGAAAAAGAATGCCACCATATATGAACAAATGACTGAAGACATCTGAATGCGAAAGTAAACACTTCCAAAGGATATTTTTTAGCATCTTTGCTAAAAATGTTTAGAATAATTGTATGTATTTTGTACA